GACGCACGTGGTCGTATTGGCGTGCCTTGAAGATTTTGTCGAGGACGTCTTGCTGGGTGTAGTCTTCGACTATGGCGATGGAGAGCTTTTCTTGCCATTCAGGGTGGGTGTTGAGGATGGCGTCGCCGGCAGTGGGACGACGGACGCAGCCGGTCACTGTGTGGCCGGAGGCTATCAATTCATTGATAATGTGGGAGGCGACGAAGGAGTTCGCGCCGGTGACGAGAGTATGTGGCATCTTGAAAGGATATGGTATCGTAGGAAGCGGAGGTAGTGAGGTATGATGTAGTAATATTTACGTTCCTTGGCTTCTTCTACTTAAGTATATGTACTCTCAAACATATCTTCAGAGTATGCATTCGAGCTAAAATACCTTGTGTACGTCCGGGGGCTGAGGAAGATTAGTAACTTCGAGGTTCAGAAATCAGCTGCAAGCCCCATCCGAGCTTCGTCCAATGGTAGTCGGACACTTAACGTTCCTGATTGCGTACGTTCGGTCCAACTGATTAATGTACTCAATGGTAGCCGCTTGAAAGTCTCGCGGAGATAACGCTAGTGACCGCTCGTGTGCGTTTGCAATAGAGATAGTTGACTTCTCTTGATCGATCCTCGGTTGATGAATGGGCTAATATCAGCCAGATGCGCTAGACCGCTTTAACGTTGAAGATATATCGTCTATGAAGGCATGAGTTCCCAGTACTAGCTAGATTAGTTCTCTTTTAAGCAGGATTCCCTATACGTTAAGCTCAGGCCTGCTACTCCTAAGAGCCCGAGACATCTGCGTTACAGGGTTTCTTTGGAGGAACTCCGCCGCTACACTCTTTCGGATTTTCGCGAGAAACGCTTGCTTTGGATTCACCTTGACTCGTCTTAGAGGTAAATACGGACGGACAAAATCATACGGGATGGTTGCTTGATGATTGGTAAAGATCTGAAAAAGGATCAAGATCGAATCACGTTGTTGCTTCTTCTGCTGAATTTGGTAATGGTTTGAAATAGAATTAGGCTCAAGGAAAGTCGTTACCGCCTCTGCTGAATTCAGTAATGATTTGAATTTAAAAGAATGCCTTTGAAAGAACGTGAAAGCGCTAACGAAAGATCGACTAGTCCAAGAACATCGACGACAGTATCACACAGCGCAACATAATGAAAACAAACCCCTCGTACACGAGACAAAAATAATGAAGGCAGAAAACAAAAGAAACTTCCCATCAAAGAATCTCCAACCACGGTCCATTCGAACTTTTCGTCAGTAGGTGCAGCGGTTGCTTGTTGACCAATTGCCCACGTCTGCTGCACCCGCTCGAGCATCGCATACCACCCATATATACACACACTAGCCGCCTGAATTACTCAAACAACCCTCTTAGATACCTTCATCATCATCCCACCCCTCGGCTTCGCCTCAAACCCCAACTCTTGAAACGCGACATCGCCTACTACGGTATCCAAATCCGTCCATTCACACCGCGGCTTCTCATTCGGCACAACGTTTGCACACTCAAAGTCAAATTCCCGCGCAGTCAATAGCAGCACAATCCTCATCTCGTCCATCGCGAGTTCCTTTCCTAAACACCCCCTGGGACCGAGCTCAAACGGCCGATACGCATTGCGTGGTATCTCCACCTCAGCGCCGTCCAAAAACCGCTCTGGGCGGAACTCCTTCGGCGACGGGAAGATGGAGGGGTTGAGGTGCATCGTCGGGTGCGCCAGGCAGATCATGTGGGCGGCGGTTGGGAGCTGGGCGCCGTTGTAAGGAAGGTGCCCCGTACGATCCCCAGAGCGGACGACGAAGCCGACGGGATATAGGCGGAGTGTTTCCTTGATTACACCGGTGGTGTAGGGGAGGTCGTTGAGCCTGTACGGGGTGTCGCGGATCATGTCGTGCGTGGTGATGGTGGAGGGAGAGAAGACGGCGTCGTGCTCAGCGCGCAGACGTGCGAGGGCGACGGGATGGAGGGAGAGCAGCATGAATATGTAGCAGAGGGTGTCGGTTGTGGTACCCTGGCCGCCCATGAGGATTGCTTTCAGGTTGACGAGCATCATGTTCATGAACTTCTTGTCTAGGATCTCTGCCGTGCTTTTGTTCGAGTTCTTGAACTCCTCTAAGCGGTCGAAGAGGAGGAGGTCGAGGATGCTGAGGCCTCTTCGTGATTTCAGCTCGACGTTGTCTCGTTTGATTTCAGCGACTCTCTCGATGATCTTTTGCTTGACGTAGCGGTTATCGCGCCAGCTGGCTGCTTTGCGCTTCAGGATGTGGACGGCTTTCGTGATTGGGTTCCAGGATTCCCGCTGGATGACCCAGTTCTCCTGGATACCCTTCATGTCTTTCAACCACGCGCTCTCGATCGTCTGTGCGTGGAAGAGGATGTTATACACCGTCATTCCGGTAGTATCGAACAGTAGTTGTGATAGCTGCTTCTCCAACGAAAACACCTCCCCAGTCTCCGCAAATTTCTTCAGCTTGTCCCCGAAAACCTTTACTTGGTCTGAAACCATAGCCGACATATTCTTGATATGCGTCGAATTGAACGCTGGACTGACCATACGATGAAGCACCCTCCATTCTTCCCCATTGACCGCAGCAATGTTGCCAGATCCGACAAGCGGTTCCAGCACGTCGGCATTGGCGTGATGCTTGGGATAGACCTTCAGCACGGTATGCTGAGCGGTGTCGGGATCTGTGATGACAAGCCAGGGTTCCGTGACAGGCCAAAGGTCGAGGTAGAATGCTCCTGGGAGGTCGTACTTTTGAGACATGGTTGTGACGAGGGCGTGTGGATGCATGTTTGATGGGAACATGGCTGTCATTTCCCCCATGAGCTTTAAGTGGCCCCATAGAAAGCTGTGTGGAGGTTTTGGCTACGAGGACGTCAGTTTCAAACTGTGTGGCACTCAAGTTAGAGTACTTGGATGAGTCTTGCTTCGGGATAGGTGTAGGTACGCCTATCTACCACAGCTTGTGGACATCTATCGAGGTGTCAAGCTTGCCAAAACGGTACGGTCACATCTCACACCAAGCATTGGCCGACCAATGCACCTCGCCATGTATTAGTCAAGAGCGATGAGCAGTGAACCTCTCAATAACGAGGGACTGCCTGCTTGGGCTGAAGAGCATCGAGGAAAGCTGCAAAGAAACCACCCCACCTACCAAATTTCTATACGATCTTCTCACCCTCACCAACTTTGCAATAAAATAGACCAGCCATGCTGTGAGAATCGACAGGCCAACCTGCAGCGTAAAACGACTGATGAACATGATGAAATTGAGGTTGCACAGATTCCAGATAGTACACCTCGTTGGAGATGGCAGCAATGAGACGCGTGTAGTCAGCCAGGCCCCAAGCTGACCGGCAGAGGTCCCAGCCCTTATAACTGTGTGGCTGCGCACCCTCCCGACGGATTCGCCAGGAGGAGGATCATCATTAGCAAGCTCGTCTATTCTAGGTGTTACGGCGCGAGGAGAGGCATCAAAGCGGCCGAAGCTTCTTTAGTCGTCAGCATGGCGTTGTTAGCCTACGGCCGGTCGACGAGTAGGAGTAGGCTTGCGATCCGCGCTAGGATAGCAAGTCAGTGTCGTGTCAGCTTTAAGATAAGTATCGCTTAAGTAGATAGATAACTGTTGAGAAAGAATAAGAAGAGAGTTGACTAAAGAAGATTTTCGTTTAGGTGTTAGTAGTAGAACTAGTTGATTGAAGCCCGCATGGCTCTACACTTGTCTCGTCATTCAGCACAGCTTCGCTGATAGATCTGCAGTAGCTTTTTCATCGTAAATGTATGAAGGCTAATCCAATCGTGTCGAAGATGCACTCTCATGAAACATATGATTGCTGTTGACAAGTCCAACCACGAACTCCGCATCCCAGATTCTGATCTCACATCCCCGCCTCCTTGCGACATCGGGAAGCTCGGGCCCTGACAAATAGCGCCCCACCAAGTACCACGTCCTACCAGGCCTACAAAGTGTCCTCTTCAACTGAATATAATGCAATAACATTTCCCCCTACATCTTATCCTTTCTCTGTCAGCATGGCGGACGATAACTTCGGCGCAAACGACGACTTCTGGCTTTTCGGCTACGGGTGCGTTTCCTTTCCAACACTCACCTCGGTACTAGATCCTAATAATAGTTTAATTCGTAGAAGTCTAATATGGAAGCCACCGCCACATTATGGTAAGAACCTCGACTTTGCTAATGCACTAAAGAAGCAGCGGTCGATATACACGCATTCGGGCAATCAGGCTGATTTTTAATTTGACCTAAGATCTGAGAGTCCCCGGCTACATCGAGGGCTACGTGCGGCGGTTCTGGCAGGTACACACCCTTCCCATCCAAAGCCATTCGCGAAACAGTCCGGGTGAATCACATAGGAGCGATCAGAGCTAATGAGCAATCATGTAGGCGAGGTGAGTTCTTATCACGTGACCTATCTCAGGAATAAACCAAAAGCTAAGTTGGTGTATCTACGAGTAGCGAGGACCACCGCGGCACGCCCGAAGCGCCAGGACGAGTCGTCACGCTAATTGACCGCGCGCATTGGGAGACGCTTGTTGACGAGGTTGGTTTCCCGCTCTCCTATCACCTAGCTCCCTTTTTATGTCTCAATCCCCTGCCACCGCGTCCACCCCCTAACCAACCACTAGCACCCCTCCCCCCACCTCACCTGGGGCGCTGCGTACCACATCCCCCAGCAGCACGTGGCCGAAGTCCGCAACTACCTCGACATCCGCGAGATCAACGGGTACAGTATCCAATACACGCCCTTCCACCCCTCACACAGCCCCGCCGACCCCTCGGTCCCAAAGCCGATCAAATGTCTAGTGTACATCGGCCTTCCTGAAAACCCGCAATTCCTCGGCCCGCAAGACCCCCAGGAACTCGCAGCGCATATCTTGAAGAGTCGGGGGCCGAGCGGGGAGAATAGAGGTACGTGACGGAAGCATCCCTGGGAAGAAAGAGTTGCGAAGTCGGATTGCGTGAACGCTGATTGAGCGATAGAGTATCTCTTTATGCTGGAAGAGGCGTTACTTGGCCTGAGTCCGGAGAGTGGGGATGGGCATATTAGTGATCTGGTGTCGAGGTGTAGGGAGATCGAGGGGAAAGAATACAAGGGCGACGACGGAAAGAGAGTAGAAATAAAGAGAGCGGATTTCGGTGGGGTAGAATTGCATAAGGTCGGTAGTACGGAGGAGCAGGAGGAGGTTGAGAAGTAGAGGTCTGTGGACTTGAGTGTCGCGTAAGGTCGGCAGAGCGGCGCCGAGATGTTAGAGGTGTTGGATGGAAATCGTTGCATTCGGTTTGAATAATAGAATCCACCTTGCTAGAGCTCGTACGGTTGCGAATAAATGTAGGGTGAGAGTAGTGTGAAGCACACAGCTGATGCTTGAAAATGAGCATTCGGTTGAACGTAAGGCCCCTTCATTAATCCAAATATAAGCTGAGATTTTCCGATTGACCCACTACTGCTACGGCAGCACCTCCTGAACCCGATCTGTATTGGCAATAGGCAGGAATGAGCTTAGATTGAACGCCACCTGACGGTAGTGTTATCATCGGCGTCTTGGTTCGCATCGTAGTTCGATTCGGCTCAGAAGCCTCCGTCCATAACCTGCTGGAAATAAAACGTTGAGAGTATGCAAGGTATCAAGTTCGTGAATTATCAAAGCAGAGTATTCCTTCCCAAAACATTTTGGTAATGCTGGGATCGGCTAGGCATTTTATAGTCGTAAATCGTATCGGACATAAGGCCGTCTTGTTCGTTGTGATTTGAGCACTATTTGGGCTTACTGGTAGGACAAGGGATTTGAATCTCTTGAAGCCAACATCTAGATAGCATTGTCAGATTCTGTGCGACAGAGTAACGACTCTCAACAACGCTAACACACGGGGGAGGGGTCGTTCAAGGTGTGATACGGACATAGAATAACCCAGCATCATATAGTCCTTCATCTCCAAACACCCTCGCTCCGATCGGTTTCGGGACTATCTGCCCTTCGAAGTCGAACCAGGTCTTTGTTTGCCAACGGTGGTAGTCGACGTCGGGAACCTGGAACTGGAGCGGTCCGGTGGAGTAGATATCTATGGATATCGCTAATGGCCCGAGCCTAGTGGGTGTAACGGTTAAGTATGAGTATGGACTCTGAGTGGGAGGTGTTGGCGATCCTCTAACCTGAGCAGGGAGATCTCGTCCCATAATCGTTTGGCCGCTGGGTTGAGTTTGAAGCCCACCCATACACATTGCTCTAAGCGCTCAATCAAGCTGCAAGAGGATGCTATTCCGAACTCGCCGCAAGCTACGGTGAGCTGGCGTATGAACCATGAGAAGTCTTGGGCACCGAGGGTGGCGATGGCGCCGATGGATAGAATCCAGAGAAGAAGATCCGGACAGGACATCCAGTCTTGACGGCATATAGCTCTGAGAGCGTCTTGTAGTCGTTTGCTTAGGGGAAAGTGTAGATAGTGTGGTTCAGCGTTGGGCGACACAGCTTCCGAGACTCCAACAACGAAGATCAGGAGGGCGATGCAAAGTGCCTCTTCGATCGGCATGCGAACGGATTCGGTATTTGAGTCATTGCGCAGCCAGCGAAGGAAGAGGCATTCGAGTACGCTGGAGTGGTTTTGGATATCGAGAGGGTCCAGAGGGCAGGCTGGATCTTCAAACCAAGCATTGAGGTCCGCCGCGAAGTTCAGCAAATCGTCGACGAGTTCGATGAGCGAATCTCTTACGTTGGCCGCTCGGCAGAGGTTGATGAAGTGCTGCGAAATGCCGGGTCGGTAGGCGGATGAGTTTGGATTTCGCGATGAATGTGTTGGATCAAGGGGTGAGAGGTATGGGGGCTCGAAAGAAGCAATGGCATGTGCCGTGCTATGCCTGTATGCTCAGTCAGCACTGCTATCCGGTTTGGGAATACAAGTCGAGCCACAACACACCAAAGTATAAACGCCTGTAGACACCGGTGAGTCCTGATTGCTCTCAGCCCGCCCCGCAGTTCCACCATGCGTCGCAAGCCATTTAGATGGATCATGCGCTGATTGGGTTCCTCCCCGTCGCCCGATGTCTCGTCGTGGAAGAATGGCAGCAATAGGCTTTCTTCAACACACAGCAGGTTGAACACCGCGGCAATATTAGCATCTGAGATACCCAGCTCGGGATCTGAGAGAGCTGCGTTTATGGCGGCTACAGCCTGCGCCTTGTGGTATACGATGCTGAAGTAAGAACCCTTGCCTACAATATATAAATGCACGGCGGCAGCACATAACAAGCTGTGCATGAAGGCGCTATTTCCCAAAGCTCTGCCAAACCAGTCCGTCCTTATCAGGTCTGATTGATGACGTATGTCGACGGCTATTGTGCCAGGTGACATGACAGAAAGAACTGCAGCTTGCCGTTAGTGCCTATGCAAGCGTGTAAGGTGCTGGCTGAAACCAGACATCATTCGTGGGGGAGTGGGAAGATAGCGCATGTAGCCGAAATATCCTGCTGGCGCGACATGAACAAGTCCTTAAGTAGGGTGGTTCGCCAGACTTTCGTGGGCGAGAGGCCACAGCACTTGCTCCAGCGATGCAGATCTTCAAGCCCCAACCACAAACAACTTCAGCCTCTCGCATAGTAAAACAGAGCAACGAGAATGCAGACTCACAGTGAGTCAGGAGCTCGGACACCCTTGAGTCTACCTCGACAGGGAAACTCCCAAAAGGATCCAGGAGCCCTTCCGAGACGATGCCGGCAGTTCGAAACGAGGTACTAGGTGGGAGCAGGATGCACCGGGGACATAGGGACTGGCCTGGCTGACAAGTAAAAATCTGGCACTCGATGCACACAGTCTGCTTGGACAAGAAGACGCTGTTGTCGGTATAGGAGCCATACTGTGCATACTCAATATCACCAACGCTGGGAAGATCGGCAGGCGTTTGCGGCGTTGTCGGCTGGGTCAAGGGCGCATCAGGTGTGCCGACACTCGCTGAATCAGAGCTCCTCCTCGCTGAGGCTTGTTTGCCGGCATTTTTACTTGTTGACCATGGCCGCTCCCTTCGGGCCCGTTGCATGACAAATGATCGAGCATTGCGACGCCCTTGGCGGGAACCTTGCGCGGGCTTGGAGGAGTCGATGAAGAGGAAGGCCTGCGGAGGTTGCGCTTGCTGCTGGTTCGACTTCTCCTTGCCCTTGGATGGGATGCCCTTCCGGTCCTCCATCGTCTATCCGCATCCAGGGCTCCACGGGAAGGCTTCAAGAGAGGTAGAAGAGGGGATTTGAGACGGGCAAGGCTAAGATAGCGCTTTTGTGGAAAAGTAGCCCAGGATTGCCTATTTGATGCGCATGGTGCGTTGACCTACTGCCCGTCGCTGCTGCATCGAAACGATGGCGGTACTGAGGCGTGGAGGGGCGACAGTTAACAATGCCCGTATGAGGTTAGCCCCTGAGGCGCATTGCCGTTCGGATAGCTGGGGTAGAGTAGCTGCAGCCGAAGTGGCGCGCGTGTCTAGGCCAGTGTTCCTGGATTCAGCCTTGCTGTCGGACTCGATATCATCGGCCTGTTCCTCTGAGCATGAGATTTCCTGTACGTTGTCAGCGTTTCTTGGTCGAAGAAATTCTACGTACCTCTGTCTGGAGCGATGTGCCGGTAGAATAAGGATGCCTCGCTGCGGCGACTGGCTGACGGATGCATAGGTCGCCTTCGCAAGGACGTTACGGACATTTCTTTGGTTGCTCGGTAACGAATAACGCCGTGGGAGGGTCGATTAGCGCCCAGACGCCCTGGTTGCAGGAGGAGAGATGCAAAGAGGATGGGCCCTGGGGCGATGGCGAGAAAGAGACAGGGAGAGCGCTATGCCTAGAGCGGGATAGGTGTGAACTGATGTCGAGGCTAACGGGTGTCATCACCAGACGAGAAACATGTAAGAGGGCCATCCGTAACGGTGCTCAGATCGAGTGCGTTCCGCAGTTATATGCAAAGCATCTACGTCTCTCCTCGATCGTCATTGACAGCATATTCGGGTAGGGCTGAGCATCAACTCCGCCGTTAGCATCTGCCGATCAACGTTCGTACAGCAGGCTTCAGGTAGGCGTGCATATGGCGTGCTGGTCGTTATCTCTCTCCAATGGCCAAGGCCTTCCGTCTCCAGATAGAACAACCACGTGAGGATCGAGGAGTTGCGGGGATGGGGAGATGTTGACCATATGGTTTTCCTAAAGCGGTTAGCTCTGGATCGGACTCAATCCATGGACCTGGCCTTTGATACGTGTACGCAACCACATATTCGGCTACCCGGTGCCGCCAAGCTTACCGACCGCTCGTAACGGCTGATGTAAGTACTTCCTAGGTTGTTGCAATCCATTTGACATACACATGTCGAACCATGGTGCCAAGTATACCAGGATAGACTCCTGCATCCTTCTATCAATATGATGGACAACATGATGGAGGCGCTTCATATAGATAGAGGGCTTTGGCTAGTAGCCCAACACATATCGCGCACGTAAAAAAGCACAGGGACAGGGCTCGGGACTGATTCCCTTGAACTAGCACATGCCCATCACGTGACTATTGAACCACGTTTCGCCTGCTTCCGGCATCGACAATTCCGCCGAGCCATCATTGGCAAAGATTCCTTGGAACCTTGGACCCCCCCCTCCACGTATACCAGCCGGAACGCTTCACTCTGAACAGGGCGAATCGCTCGAGAGGATGCGCGTGCGGTTGTCTCCTCTCAGCGCCTCCAGTTCTTTCCTCCGTTACCTCCGCCTCTCAGAACATGTCACATTATGACGGGACCAATCCCGCAACCAGTACGTTTTAAGCCCCCATTGCTCAAAGTGCTTTCCAACAATGACTGACCATGCGATCGCTTGATCTAGGCCTGACATGGTCCGAAGTCCCGACTCATATCCTCCGCGCCGAGCTGCAACGACGACAGGACGCCGAAAACCCACCGCCATGTGGGACAAAAGGAGGAAAAGGCCACTATAATACCGCCGCGCATGTTGCCGCGCTGATAATAATACTAACTCTGAGCACGGCTGGTGCGTTCGCGCGCGGCTACCAGCCTAGGGCTGAAGAAATACTGATTGGTAACAGCGTGCTCTTTTCCCATCATCGTCCGCCGCTTTCCACGCCTCCGCGTCCCTCACCAGATCCTCTTCCTCTCGCGACACTTTGGCACCGGCGTCTTGATAGCGACTGCTTTCGTCCACCTCCTCCCGACCGCTTTTCAATCCCTAACGGATCCATGCCTCCCCTACTTCTGGAACCAGGGCTATCCGGCCATGCCCGGCCTCATCGCCATGACCTCGGTCTTGATAGTTGTGGGGATAGAAATGTTCTTTGCGTCTAGAGGGGCCGGGCATATCCACACGACAGACTATGATGCGTTCCCGGGGGATGATACTGAACACCGGGCATTTCGGGACAGCCACACACGACCACTGCATAAACGGAGCAACAGCTTTGGAAGATTTAGATCAGGCAGTTACGGACATCCCCCAGATCTCGTGCTTAGCGATATAGCAGAGTCGTCTGAGGGTTTAATGGCAGGACGGTCACCCTCGGTCCCCACGACATCTCCACTTCCACCAACCACAGACAAACGAGATTCAGCAGATGATGAAGATGATTCAGATCTCGAACTCGACGAATTACACCCCATACCTGGCGATGACGACGAATCCGGACTCCTAAACGGCAACTCGAAGCCTCGGGGATTTGCAAACCGCCATAATCATAATCACAACCACAATCACGCGCCAGGGGCCACCAATCCCGAGGACCTCACCGAAGCCCAGCAAAGGAAACTGTTCCTCCAATGCATGCTCTTAGAAGCCGGCATCCTCTTCCACAGCGTCTTCATCGGAATGGCCCTCTCCGTCGCAGTGGGCACCTCCTTCATCGTGCTCCTCGTCGCCATCTCCTTCCATCAAATTTTCGAAGGCCTAGCCCTAGGCGCGCGAATCGCAGCCCTCCGCTTTGACCCGTCGTCTCCGAAACCCTGGCTCATGGCTCTCGCGTACGGCACTACCACGCCGATCGGGCAAGCTATCGGACTTGGGATTCACAATCTGTATGATCCAGCGAGCCAGACAGGCCTGCTTATGGTCGGAGTCATGAACGCGATCAGTAGCGGACTGTTGCTCTTTGCAGGCTTGGTTGAATTGCTAGCGGAGGACTTTTTGAGCGATGAGAGCTACGTGACGCTTTATGGGCGGCGGCGATTAGAAGCGTGCGCAGCAGTGGTTGGTGGAGCCCTTTTAATGGCGCTGGTGGGTGCGTGGGCATAGGCATCTTGAATCACACTGTGTATGTCACTTTCGTCTTTGCGGTCATTTAGCAGCATGGCAACGGCGCATTAGGGTTTTTCCAGGATATATATGGAGCAACCTCACAGTTGGATTTTAACATGCATCTTTTCCGCTGCGTAGGTATTGAAGAATAGCATTGCCTCAGTAGAGACAGCATTCGTGTGCATAAGCTCAATCTGATTGTCAGGCGTGCTCCAACCAGGCTCATCCATCTGAGACAAGTGTCTAGAAAAGGCATGCGCTCTGCTCTAACTGTTGGTTAACTTAGAATACATCACGTGACTGTCATCGGGAGTGAGTCTCCATGTTTGCCTCGTATGTCCCAACAGCTTCGCCTCTCGTGCAACATCAAACGAACCTAGTCAATCGTCAGGAGAGGAGTGGAGCCATCACAGTGTCTCTGAAATCCCGATCTCGGGTCTATATATGCACTCGAAGCCTTAATACCTGTGCTACTAAACAGCCTCGTGCCTCCTATGTCTATTTTTATCTATAAATAAACCATGTGGCCCCTTTATTTTTCCCTGTTCCGATCTTTTTCTCCGCAATTCGGCCCTATGAGATCCTGCCTGCTTCGCCTCAAGGCGTTGCAACCCGTGATATTTTAGTGCCAAGACGCGCCCCTTTGGCCGCCGATCTCTGCATCGTTCGTAAGAGGCCACCGCTCTCCTGTCACGACACCACACACTCTCATCAAAACTCGTATACGTTTGCGCCATACGGCGAAGCCAACCTGTACGTAAGGTTCAGCGCCCCTGGCGTGACGTACGAAGACGAGGGCTGGGGTCGGGTCGGGAGGCTGGGACACGGAGCGCCTGAAACACCATGTGGCTGGTGCCGCGTCCGTATAACCCCATTCGCGTCACTGTATGGAGCAGCTCTGCGGGCTATGCCCCGGCTAGCGCTGATGTAATGGGCGCCTGGTATTGATCGCAGCGATCCACTGATGTCTCATATGTAGGAGGGCTGCAATGCTTTGCTCGGTATAAAGGCAAACCCGCTCTCAGCTTTCTCTAAGACATCGTCACTCCATCCGTCAATACCACTCCAATCTCTCAACTACTCTCGCTTTAATACAAGTACTGACCTCTCCCACTCACCATCTGACTATCTCAAACCTCCAACTCTCTCATCTCTTCTGAATTACTATCACATCTCCGCCACAATGAAGACCTTCGCAGCAACCGCCCTCCTCGCAACCCTCCTCTCCACCGCCTCCGCCGCAACCGTCACCCTCCAAACAACCCAGTGCCTCCAACCCGTCGACCTCCAAACCTTCACCGTTACTCTCGGCGAGCTCTACACCAAAGAACGTACGTCTACCCCCCTGTCCCCCTTCTCCCACCCACCCCTCTAACACCTTCAAAAACAGTACAAGAAGTCTGCGGCATCAAACTCCTCTCCGCCACCGGCACCGCCCTCAGCGCCGTCTCCTGCCACGCCTACAAAGACGCCGCCGGCACCAGTTCGGGCTCCGCGCCCTTCAACTCGACCTCCCCCGCGCTGATCGCCACAAATCCCGTGCAGGTGGGCTCGGTGCTGTGCGTCAACGATGGCGTACACGCGAGTAGCAGCGGCCTCGTGCCGAAGAGCGTGGGGAACGCGACCACGCCGACGGGGTTTGTGTCGAGCGGGAAACTGATAGGCACGGGCGTGCCGAGTGGGTTGAGCACTGGGGTCAGGAATGGGACGGTGACGGCGACGATGACGCGGACGCCGACGGTTACGAAGGGGGGGCCGACGGGGACGCAGACGGCGAGTGGGACGAGTACGGGGGGTGCGGCGATGGCGACGGTGGGGCTTGCGGCGGGGTTGGTGGGCGTGGTGGCGATGGTGTTGTAGGGAGTGTGAAGGGAGTGGTTATGGGATAATGCATTGGGATCGGAAAATGGGTAATGGTAATGGCATTGCATAGCATGGGATTGGACTAACTGGGGATATTGCATTGGGTTGGCGTTTTTGAACTGGCCCCAGCCTAGATAGATTAGGCGTATTGTAATACGATAATGATGGTGTGCGCGAAGCACACCTCCTCCACTTATTCAAGTACACAGCATTGAACTTCGTGTTGTGTTGGTAACAATATCTACAGAGTCAATCGCTGGCCTGATCCCCTATTAGACGCAGTGTGCTTCACCGCGGGAGACAAAATTCATCTCACGCAGTTAGATTCGTAAATTCTTCCCCTTTAACTAACCACCTAGGCCCACGAAGACGCGCCGACGCACAGGGGACGCATGTCATGCTTTTATTATCGCTAATAATTATAGTTCTGACTACGTAGACAAAAATCTGATAGACGCGGTGTGGCACGCGGCGTAGCTCGTTTTGGTTTCACACGGTTCGATTCGTAACTCTTTCCAACGTTACCGACCCACGAGGCCAGAGGATGTCCTAGCTCATAGGGGACGTAATTGGCGCGTTTATTGCAAAGAGTTCCCGATCTAACGGCGTAGAAGAGGTCTTGGTAGACGCGGTGGGGTACGCAGTGTGGTTACTTCTCGTAACAGAAGCACCAGGGCGGTTTTCAGTGGCCCTATGAAGGAAACTTAAGGCTAGGGTTTGATGCTCGGTCTTTTCGTCTTGTACTGCATACGCATCGATGGAGGATTGGAAAACGGAGGATTCCTCGGTCGATGGGCCACATCCGTGTACGTATGTTCGTTCTTCGTCGACATCGTTGTAGGTATTGGAGGTATTAATGGCGACGAGTGTGGAACGGCGATGTGAGGTTTGAGCGTTGCTGCCACTGATCAAAAGATATGCAGTTTGGGCTTCCCCGTGTTCCCAGTTCGTTCGAGTCGTAGGACTCGGGACTTAAAATAGCAAAGCTTTGCTGCGTTTTCATAAGCTCTCTAATGCGGAGAACTAAGTTCCATCGAATCACGACGCGCTTTCATCCCGCCTGCATTCTCTTCGCCTTCAGCCTTTCTGTAGAGAACTTAATCCAAGCAATGAAATCGCTGATTTATCCCCTCCCGAGGCGTCTTTACTGAAACAATCACGTTTGGTTCTATATGTGGATCATGACCCTGGCGCTGAAGACGAAGCGAGACGGTATAAGACGCAGGTATCGCCATGTCTCCCAGGGCGCTTGCCCATCCTCCTTTCACCAGCCATCCTGCACATCTGTCGGCGGTAGCATCTCAAGCTTGCTATGCAATTCAAACAAACATGGCTATTCCCTTTCCATGTTCCTCAACGAAGGATCTGGACGCGTGGATGGACGAGATCATCTCTTTAAACAGCGAGCACAAGCTGCAAGATACCATGGAGATCATGGAGAGAGAATACCAGTTCCGCGCTACGTACGTTTTGCCATTTAGGAAAGCCTATGCTATTGCCAACATCTCGCAGAGAGAAAATGTACAAGACCAAGCTTGCACAATGGCGCAAACAGGGGAAACTACCACCCAAGCGTGTCAGTGGACGCAGCCAAAAGGCCATGCTCCGGATTGAAAAGGAACATTTGGACGCGACAGGTAGAGGGACTTCTTTTAGATATCGGGGGCATCCTATACCCCCAGAAAAGTACCGGCGATACGAGAAAAGACATGCTCTATCACAAAACGAGTCGAGGTCGCGGTCCGCTTCCCGTGAGTGTTGTGTTGGACTCTTGTTTCAACTACTCGAAGATACTTCGTTAGGGCCCTTTGTGCTAACGTAATCTAGGTACACCTTCTTACATCAGCTACAACTCACACTCGATTGCTGAGCAGAATGCGACCACGGCTTCTGAGTCAAATCCAATGGAGCAATATCTTCTACCCGCTAAACAACCCTTGCACTACTTCGCCGACAGTTTCGCTCAACTGACATCTATTGAAAGTCTGACAGAATACGAGGACGTAAAGATTTTGACGGAAAAAGATGCAAACAACCTGCCAAGCCCATCTCAAGCGTTCGGAATCAACTTCTCGCATCGCAACTCCTTCGATGTTCCCAGTTCCCCTTTCTCTGATGTTACCTCACTATCACCAACGTCATCCTTCATCAGTATTACTGAAAGAGAGCTCTCACCGTTCGTGGACGATGAGTCTACGCCAACACCAAAAGCGCTTTCTACCCCTATCGACCTTGGTAGGCTGGAACGTCTTACCATACACCACGATAGGAGTGATAACGGAGGAAAGGCTGTCCTTGCTGTACCGGGAGTCGACTCCGCCGACGAAATCAAAATTATTGATACCACATCCGAGCGAACGTCTTCGCGAGCCGTGACGCTGTCAGTCAACTCATTGCCACTATTCCCCACCGATCTCGACTCATGCCACTGGCGAGCCCTTTCCTCAGCACTGCGACGATTAGAATTGTATGATGAAAACGTGCTGTTTAAAGCTCACGTCTCACGCATAATCAGTGTCATGTGGAATTTATTCGGTGTCTACATGCACGGAAGCTTCTTGGAACGAAAGCAGAAAATGGCATTGATTCTGTTTGGGAACATATTTTCATTTATCGGGCGTGGATTCTATGAGCACGACCATCTTGTTGTCCAAGTCTGTTATGAAAGCGTCTGTAGAGCATTTCGCTCGCTGGATACCCTTCCCTGCGATGACTTGCCCCCGGAGACGTCTCCCGAAAGCATAACTCGGCAGGTTGATGGAATTTGGGCAGACGCTAGGAAGCTGTCCCAGCACTGTTGGTGGGACGAGCTGTTGAAACAGCCCACGTGATGTATAGGTAACCTGTGTAAATTGATTAATTACACATGGAGCTACCTGTGGGCTTCACTAGAGTGATTTACCAGCCTTCTTACGGGAATAGGAGTCCTAGAATATGTGACCTCTCCAGCTACCTAATTCCTTGCACCTTGCACCTTGCACCTTGCACCTAATTTTTACACCAACATACCTTAGCCAAGCGTTGTCAAACTTCGACTCATAATGAACAGCTTTAGGCTTCTCAATCTGTTACTCGACTTCTACTGTCCACCTACTAATTACCACAATGTTAAGTGATTTTTCTTTCCCGGCTCCGCTTTTCTCGACTGTGTCATACATATGCCGGTCCATTTGCAAACTCGCCTCTCGTACTCTGTAATGATACTAAGGTAGGGTAGATCAACCTCTTGCGATGCGTAATTCAACGGTTGGTTCAGTTACTTGCCGATTAATATGGCACATATAGGGAGTTATAAAGAGAATCGACTATCGGAAGGGATTGTAAGGGCATTCGTCCAAACTTTCCTTTTCGCACCAAGGTCTAGATATGTATAGAAATATAGAAAGGCTCGGTCTAGTGAACCATAAGTGTAATACATTCTATGCTGTCCAAAGTCATTGTTCCTGCGAGAGGCAATATCCAATTTTACGCTGAATTCCACCGTCCAATCAATACTACCTTAGCACGACCAGTCGAGTCTAGTATTTTATACGCTTCATTAGTGACACATCCTGTTGTTAACGCTTTGGCCTAGCGAGTGTCTGATGCTTTATTCCAAGTGTTCAAGATGGATGCGACGAACACCAAGCGGTCATAGCGTTCTCCCCGCCAACGTCACTTAACTCCCAGCCACATGTCCACATCACCGGCCTTCCATTTACAATCGTAGACCATGCGATCAATACCCCTCGAGGGCAGCTAAGGCACTCCCTGCCGCTCCCATATCCTCATTCCTCCATCCACCATGTCCAACTTCCGCGGCACCCGCAAAGGCGGCAAAGCCCGACCCTCCCATTCCTACGCCACAATGCAAAAAGGCCTCTTCGAAGACGGCACATGGAAGTGTGCGTACACTAGTCGCCTTACTCTCATATCTCTAGTCAAACTCTAACACTACCTCAGGCGACTGCAACCCCCGCCTCCCCGCCATCCACCTCCAAACCAAGAAAGAAACCGCGAACAAAGGCCGCTGGTTCTACAAATGCCAGAAGGGCCAAGACGACGAGGGCTGCTGCAACTTTTTCCTCTGGGAGGATGCCGCGAAGCCGCGCGAGGGGAGGGCTGTGCTGGGGACGTCGAGGACGGAGCCTGCGACGCCAGTGACGACGCCGAGGAAGCCTGGGATTGCGGTTACGAGGGCGTTTACGCCGAGCGATTACGGACTACCGCAGCATGAGGATGGGAACAAGAAGCGGGGGAGGATCGATGAGGAGGAAGACTACGGCTGGGACGACTCGATTGACAGCGTCGAGCTCGCGCGGCTGGGGAAGCAGTACGACACCCCTTCCAAACCTCCGGAGACGCCTCGGAAAGCTGTTAAGACGGATGTGTTCACGACACCGAATACTAGTCGAAGGAAGCTGCCTTGGCTGGAAAATAGCTCGGTGCCTTCGGATGGTCTTCCGACACCGACATCCATGTCCAAGACTTTTGTGGAGGGGATGGGGAGGATAGATCGGACATCACCGGCAAGCGTGGTATCGAACGCGTCCTACGTTACGGCGGGGTCGGAGCGTCAGAAGGAAATTATGAGGGGGTATACGCTTCCAATGCAAGTGGGGACGCCGACGCCGATGCGATCGAGTAATACGCTTGCGGCGAAGGATACCACGCCGACGCCGAGCCGGTTTAGAGATGTGGAGGTTGGGGAAGGGGAGGACTGTCAGCTCATCGCAGACATACTTGGTGTACTCAATGTGAATAATGTCACGTTGAATGAGAGTGCGAAAGAGGGGGTAAGGAGGGTGTTGAATAAGCATGACCTGCGGATGCAAGGGATTATCAAAGGGTATGTACTCCGATCCAAATGGTTTAGGGGGTTTGAGTGGCTACTGATTTCTCCTAGACGCGAGATATCTCGACTAGCGATCAAAGCGAAGGATTCAAAGATTACGGAGCTGGGACTTCGTATTTCGACGCTGGAAGCTGAGCTGGAGACCGAGAAGGCGCTTGTGCAGCACTTCAAGTGGAAGGCCGACAACGACCTGACTTCTGACTGATCACCCTCACCTACACCCTACGACCGTCACGACCTCCTTTTCTCTTCCATTTTCCAAGTTTGGATGGCGCTATTACTATACCCTTGAATACTTTGAGCTTGAGCGACGCGGCAGATATTAGCTTCACGGTTTTAGGATCGCTTTTGGTACTCGGTCGATCGATGGGACGTTGTACCGATCTATCATCTCTGTGTCTCATGAAGACTTTTGGAGTTCGCTCGATAGGTACTTCGAAATGAATTCTTTACCCTACACCCACGCCCTCGTCCGATTTCGGCAAGGATGCAGATCGAGACAATCTATGCGCATTAAATCGTGTCGTCTGCACCTTTCCCAACACGTTACGGAGTCACTCTTAGATATGGTATACTATGTCAGCATTCGCGGACTTCAATTCACCCATAAAACCGGAGATGCGTGATGTTAAGGTTGGGAGAGATGGGGTCGCTGGGACCCTTTCACGTGCTATTCAAGCTTATCGCCATCAAGCTTTTCGCGTAGCGGATAGAGATGTTGGTTGCCGTTGCGGGTGACGGGCGAACGAGCTAATACCATGTGGGTACCACGGAGCCAGTGGGATACTGTGGTAGAGCATATATTAGCCGTACGTAGTAACCGGTCTGCATCTGACTGCACACCTTACGGCGAGATCCGACTTTCCATATCACGAAACAAATAGACGTGGTTATTACCAGCCAATCAGCGACCGTGCGCGCTTTGTGCGGGCGCCCGTGACGTGTGCGCAACTTGTGCGGTCGACGTCCACCACTCGCACTTCTCACGCTTCCACGCCTCCAAACCCGCCCTCTCTGACCATTTGCTAGAAACTTCTGGGGAGCAGCTGGAATGGCGAGATTGGTGCGTCGGGTGTCGAGTCATCGCTGCCCGCAAAAGAGACGCACTTGTGCCTTCCGCTGCGAGGGGACTTAAGAAGCTTCGCCCCTCCTCTCGAAGACCCGGCGGCTGTATCTGTCTATGCTACTTTGAACAACCGCGTTGATTAATCAAATCAATCCAATCAGTCAACCGATAGTTTCATACACTACACCATCGCCACAGAGGTACTACCAGCTGTACTTGCTGTACGCCTCAACAACAGGATAGCCGCGTGTCCCATTCCGACACCGCCCTCTACCACCATGGCACTACCATCGCCCACGTCCACGCAAGGGCGTGCCAGCATTACGACTACGGTGTTCATATCGAACCTGCACTGCCCGTCATGCATCGTTAGTATCCAAGGGGCTTTGAGTGCTCTGCATCCCCCGCCTGAGGTCGTCTCCCACTCCATCGTCTCCCACGAGGTGATACTGCGCCACAGCGCCCAAGTCTCTGTCGACGCGATCCTGGATGCTCTAGAGCTTGCGGGCTTCGAGGTACATTCCATCTTCCAGGACTCTGAGATCGGTATTGGAGTCGAGAGCGAGCGAAGAAGCCCCGAGTGGCAAAACAGCCTCGAGCAAGCGGTAAACCGGTGGCGGCATTCGCGAGGGCATGCGAGGGAGGACGATATGCAGAAGAGGAAGAGACATGTGGAGCAGTGCGCGCTTTGTCGAATTGAAGAGGGGGATGTGGGGGGGTCTGTGAAGGTGAGGCAGGAGAGTGGGTCGAGCGCTGCGTTGACTGAGAAAGAGGAGATCAAAAGGGAGGAAGATGTGGGAGAGGTGGAGATGAAAGGGGATGGCTTTGTTTTCGTTGATGATGGAGCTGGAGATGGGTTGTGGAGAGCCACCCTTGCGATTTCGGGGATGACGTGCGCGTCGTGTGTGGCGAGTATCTCGAGGGTGGTGGGCGAGTTGGGCTGGGTGAGGTCGGTGGATGTTAATCTGCTTACTGCGAGTGGGTCGGTCGTGTTTGAGGGGAAGCATCATGCGGCCGAGGTTGTGGAGGTGGTTGAGGATGCTGGGTTTGAGGTTACGCTGCAGTCGCTGGTTGAAGTTGCCAAAGCGCCGGTGAAGAAGTCAGCAACGGTACCGGGAGCGGAGCGGTGGAAAGCGACGTACTCAATCGAGGGTATGACTTGCAGCTCTTGTGTGGGGAATGTTACGGATGCGGTCAAGGGGTACACCTGGATCGAGCACGTGGACGTCAATCTCGTTTCGAATAGCGCTACCGTGACGTTTACTGGGAAGGACCATCTTGCGGAGATTCAAGAGGCTATTGAGGACTCGGGTTATGGTGCTACTCTCGATACCATACTCCCTATCGATCAACAGCAAGAGGTGGCTCAAGAGAGATCTATGGCGATCCGCATAGAGGGAATGTTCTGCCACCACTGTCCCCCACGGATCATCGCTGCCCTGAACGAAATCTACGGCGACAAGATCGAGTGCGAAAAGCCACCCTTGAACGAAAAGACTGGCCTCCTCAGAATCAAATATCTTCCCTCGCCACCCGACTTCACCATCCGCCACATCGTCGACTCAATATCAGCAATCGACGCCATCTTCAAACCCTCCATCTACCACCCTCCCACACTCGAAGAGCGTGCCCACGACATGCACGCCCGAGAACGCCGCCGCATCCTCTTCCGCCTCGTTCTCTCCTTTACTATCGCCATCCCAACATTCATCCTAGGCATCGTCTACATGTCTCTGGTCCCCGCTTCAAACCGCCAACGTCGCTACCTCATGGAGCCCATGTGGGCTGGGAACATTCCCCGCATCCAATGGGCTCTCTTCTTCCTCTCTACCCCAGTCTATCTTTTCGCTGCGGATACTTTCCATGTGCGAGCGCTGAAGGAGCTACGCGCGATGTGGAGGCCGGGTAGTCGGACCCCTTTCTTCCAACGGTTTTATCGGTTTGGAAGCATGAATATGCTTATGAGTCTTGGAACGACCATTGCGTATTTCGCGTCGATTGTGGAGTTGATCAGAGCGGGGTTGAAGAAGTCGACTGGGAGCTTAAGTGATTCGTACTTCGACTCCGTCGTGTTCCTTACTATGTTCTTGCTTATTGGACGGTTTTTGGAAGCGTACAGCAAAGCGAAGACCGGGGATGCGGTCACCTCGTTGGGGAAGCTTCGACCAGATGAAGCGATTCTCGTTGGAGTTTCTGGAACTGGAGATCGGAAGATATCAGTCGACTTGCTTGAGATTGGGGATGTTGTGAGGGTTCCGCACGGCACTTCTCCCCCATTCGATGGACTCATCGCCGCCGGATCAGCCAAATTCGATGAATCTAGTCTTACTGGAGAAGCAAGACTCGTGAACAAGGAACCAGGCGACACCGTCTTCTCCGGCACCATCAACAAAGGCGGCGCGATCACCGTTCAAATCAATACAGTCTCCGGTACCTCGATGCTCGATCAGATCATCAACGTAGTCCGCGAAGGTCAGGCGAGGCGCGCGCCTGTCGAGAGGGTCGCCGATGTAATCACTAGCCACTTCGTTCCATTCGTAGTGCTCGTTGCTATCGTCACTTGGGTGATATGGCTGTCACTTGGCCTCACCGGTACTATCCCGGACGACTGGCGTGATAAAGATTCTGGAGGCTGGGAATTGTGGTCCCTCCGCTTCGCTATCGCCGTCTTCGTCGTAGCGTGTCCTTGCGGGATCGGTCTTGCTGCGCCCACTGCTCTGTTCGTCGGCGGTGGGTTGGCTGCTAAACATGGTATCTTAGTGAAAGGAGGTGGTGAAGCCTTTCAAGAAGCTAGTTCCCTCGATTGTATCGTCTTCGATAAGACTGGGACGCTGACGCAAGGCGGAGATCCGGAAGTGACGGACTACGAGATCATCGATGGCCAAGGCGAAGGAGTCGCTCTCGGTATGGCCACGAAGCTGGAAGAAAGCAGTACCCATCCTATCGCTAAATCCCTCGTCGCTTTCTGTGCCTCGAAAGTCAATTCGGAGAGTACTCTCATCTCTATCGATGAGATTCCTGGAAAGGGTCTGAAGGGGGTTTTCAAACCTACCTCTGAAACAACTACAGCCCCTATCACCGCACTCATAGGCAACGAGACTTTCATGGTCGATCACGGCGTCGTTATTCCCGCTTCCACCTCCACAACTCTCAACAAGTGGAAATCAGAGGGTAAATCCGTCGCCCTCTTCGCCATCTCCTCCACCACATCATCCGCAGACTTCATCCTCTCCGCCACCTTCGCAATCTCCGACCCCCTCCGCCCCGAAGCCGCTTCCACAATATCCTCCCTTCACGCCAGTGGCATCGATGTCTGGATGCTCTCCGGCGACAACGAAACCACCGCCCGTGCCGTCGGCGCCTCCGTCGGCATCCCCTCTGATCACGTCATCGCAGGCGTGCTGCCCTCCCAAAAAGCCGAGAAGATTAAATACCTCCAACGTACCCTCCCCTCCCCACGCAAATTCGGTAGCCGGGGAAAGGCCCGCGCAACCGTCGCGATGGTCGGCGACGGTATTAACGACGCGCCCGCGCTCGCTACTGCAGACGTCAGTATCGCGATCGGGAGTGGTAGCGATGTCGCTGTTTCGTCTGCTTCTTTCGTTCTGATTACGTCGGATCTAAGGTCGATCACGACGTTGATTCGGTTGAGCAAGAAGGTTTTCAGGCGAGTGAAGTTTAATTTCGGCTGGGCGCTGGTGTATAACCTAATTGCGATGCCGGTGGCAGCAGGGGCGTTGTTTGCAGTGCGCACCGGGGGTGGGGGGCATGTGAGGTTGGATCCGGTGTGGGCGAGTTTGGCGATGGCGATGAGTAGTGTGAGTGTGGTTTGTAGTAGTTTGGCGCTGAGGTTAGATTGGAGGGGGGTGGGGTTTAGGGTGGAGAGGGAGGAAAGGGGGACTGGATTGGAAGGGGAGAGCCGGGAGTAGTGATAGGTTGGTAGACTGTTTGATAGGACATAGCTCTTAGATGCCCGATCTACTTCGTTTTCCGTTTCTAACTTCACCTATCGCACTCTCTCAACTGTCTCCGTGTTCCTCTTCCCAAATATCCTCCAAATCCTCACTAACACTATCATCACCGTCTCCCCCAACCCCTCCCAGACTCTCCCCAACACCCGCTTCCCCGCCCTCCCTACCACCGCCCTGACATCCCCACAAGCACCTCTGCCACCCTTTCCGGCGTCAAATCAGTAACATCCACCTCCACCCACATAACATTCTTAAACCTAAAGAGCTCTCCCTTCGGACGCATCTCCTCCAATAATGAGGAGTCAAAGAGCTTCCTCGTCCCCCCCCCCCCCCCCCCCGATCCGCTCCGCGGACGTCATCCGCGGCACGCTCTCCGCGACGTCGCGGGTGAGATACACCGGCACGAACACCCTTCCAGCTCGCCCGGCGGCCAAGGGAGTTGCTGGTGTGGAAGTCTAATCCACCTACCATTAGTTCCCGACATCGAGCCGTGGTGATTATGCGCTTTGGGACGCGAGCAAGTGAGTGAGTGAGTGAGTGAGTGACAGCGTACCGGTGAAGATTGCGATCCGATGGAAGGTGGAGGGGTCTTCGACGTGGGACGTGAATGCAAGATCGCGGAGGTGTTTTCGTTCGGTTTGGTAGGATGGGTGGTCCCGAGCGTAGAGGATGGAGACAGGGTCGATGAGTTGGTGGTTGTCGATCAGAATAGCTTTGGTGGGTGAGCGAAGGGGAATGAGGAGCTTGGAGATGGTGAGTTTGCCGGTGCCAGGGAAGGCGTTGATCCAGATGAGCGGTTGAGGGGGCATGGTTCGAGGGTTGGTAGGATGAGGGCGGTGAGAGTGGAAACAGGCACTGTGGAGGTGTTGTGGGTTGTTTGTTAGTGCAAAGAGCTGGATCAATGGGAAGAGAGGTTTAGAGGTTTTCATTTTTGTGAAGGCCGATGAAGTAAAGCGGTACGGATGAGCCGCTATCACTGGATTCGCATGAGTCACGGGGTGAGCATGTGTGCGGATGCGAGGAAAGTGGGGCTAGGGTTTTATCTGTTGGCATGTTCGGTACTTCGTGCGCTATTGACTCTACCTACTAAGGGGCTTCAAATTTTCGCTATCCATAGTCTAGCGCAGAGATGAAGCATCGGTACCGAGGGAGCCTTGGTCGCTGCATAGAGGTCCGTTGAGTGACGTAACGTATCCGTTGTAAGTTTCTTCGAATGTTGTGGTTTGCACGGGAGGGGTGGCCTTCTGTGTCCCGCTCAAAGCATCAGATTCATGGGTTGGGATCAGCTTTACATGCGCATAGTCGATCTCGAATCCCTCAAAGATCATACCGCAGCGAGAAGCGAGAAACGTCTTCATCAGGTGTCCAGTAACGGTGTGCGCAGCACCCATGAGCTTGGAGTAAGTGTCATCTTCGAGACGGAAGATATCACTTGACAGGTGAGCGCAGGGCACAAAAACGGCAAAACTAGGCGTATTCGCAAAAGGCGTTAGGAACGCGACGTGATCGTCTGTTTCCCATATACGTGACTGGGGGAGCTCTCCTCGAACAAGTCGTGCAAACAGGTTGTTGTCATTCTTGTCACCTTGGAAACGGTAGTTGAATGGTTCCGAAATGCCGGTCTCTGCTTTGATCGATGAGGCGATCTGGCTCAGACGTTCCGAATCCATCTGGGGGCCATCCTTGGAATTGATATAGCCTGGATATGTCTCGTTGAATTCCTTTGAATCGGCGAGAATTGGCTTCCATTCCTTGGTGAAGTCATGCAGTGGGATCATAGAGAGGAAACTGTCTCCTTCAGTAACGCGGGCGCAGCGGCCAACGTTATAACAAACTTCAAGGGTCTCTGTGAGTCCCTTGATGGATGTCATGACCTTTACAAAGTCACCTCGGTCCAGAGAAAACAGACCCACGGTAGTTTGCTTGAGGGATACCAAGGAATGTCCTCGTGTGGTCGGATACCGTGACAACCCAGCAATAATTTGAGCATCGTTGTAGAAGACATGCTGAGCTAGCACCGGGAATGGGTTCTGGGAAGTTTGGATTGAGGCACGCTGCATCGTCGCGGAAGAGAGCCCACACCGAGAGTATATCCTGACCGACGCCTCAAGGATGGGGGAAATGATCTGAGAATTGTTGTGAAAAGAATTGTATTCCTTGCACCGCTGAGATAGGCTCAACGGTATCGATAAGGATACAACCAATAGAAAGCTTAGAGTAATGAGAACTGCGGCGGATTTTGCCTGCCCTGTACAACTCAGTAAGGTGTTCCAAAATTCTGGTCTGAGCGTTGCGAACCAGCGGTGCAAGGGATAGACTATGAGGAGTGTCAAATGTGTGATGATTGATGTTGAGATAGAGGGGGCGGGCCCTTTTTATATAACCAAGGAAGGTAATCAAGGCGCCTACATGGGTATCATGGGCAATTGAAATAGCCGCGCAGTTCGAAAACGTGGCTGGAGAAAATTCTAGAGGCGCGGCCGTGGTGAATACAGCTGAAGAGTCCTCACCAGCCAGTACAGCGCTTCGGCCTTTTCATAATCGGTTATGGGCGGAAAGATGCTAGCATGACTTCGAAGCTGTGAAGGGGGCGTCGTAAGAAGAATGAGTGTGCTGAGGAAAAAGCGGCACTTTTGCCTTTGCCGCGGGCGGCACAGAGCGAATCGGTTTGCTGCGGGTGCACTGTGGTACGACGCGCAAATAATCGGCATGATGATGATGTCGCTCGCTCAAGCAAACCACACTGAATATATCCTTGGTTTCGGGCCGAAGGGGTTGCTACGTGCCAACTATGGCAGTGAACGTTGTTGCTTGAACGCGCAACTTAACCTGAACTGGAACGCGATTGTTGAAGAGCTGACCGCGCGAGCCCACTCAATGGCGGCATTAAGGCTATACTAGGTGCACAAGAATACATGGTTTGGCTGTTGGCGTGTACCGTGGAGTTGTATATTAGATTTTTTGTCGACGATTGCGGGACTTCCTGGTGATTAGTAGTGAGCGTAGATACATCCCTAAAACCTGAAATACTTGGAGATTCCGAGCATATTCAAGTCGCTGAGGCGACCAAGATGTATGATTATTATGAAATGTGAACTTTAGGGCAGAAATAGACAATTATTCAAAAACTGGGGTACCTGCATTACGCTTTTCGAGGACGCAACAGTTATGAGCATGTGTTCCAATTGAATTTCAAATAAGATGAAGTGTTCAAATAACGGTGAAGAAATATGACGGGTGCGAGTCTCGTAGCTTGATCAAACAAGGCCGAACACCGTTGAAGTTTAGGCTCACGTGATATAACTAATGACAAGGAAGATGGACGGTAATCGACAAGAGTGGTCTCAGTTAGGTTCACTTTGAGGGCCCGTCCACTAGCTCCGGCAGGTCGCTCACAGGGATCGGAGAGTAGTTGACGCTGGGCGAGGTGGTATTGACAGATGATATCGCCATAGAATCCCTGTTCCGTGAAAGTGGTGATACCTGAAGAAGCGAGGATCTCTGCGGCGCAGCCGGCTCCTCCGCCCCTGCTCCATAGTTCGCACCCTCTTCGTCGTCTTCTGGGGGCTTTTGGTTTTTCTTCCGTTCGTATTCCTCCGGCGTCAACTGCGATTCCTGAGCATCCACTTCCCAAGGCGGTTTCACTTCGGGTGTTCTCGAGCGACGGCGCTTGACTGCGCGAAACCATACGAATACTGCGAGCAGTCCGAGCGCCAGTGCAGCTACGGGTACTCCAATTCCGACGCCGATCTTGGCTCCTACAGTCAGGCTCGAGGATGAGGAGGACTCGCTCGATTTGAAGACCTGAGCCGAGTCGCTCGGATTGGAAGTCGAGATTGGCGCAGCCACGGTAATATAATGGTCCTTCGTCATCAATACAGTAGTAGGATGTACGAGGCCAGTTGCGCTGGAGGGATATGACGAAGTGGGATTTGGTAGCGGTGTCAAGAACTCGACGGGGGTACTCTGGAGCGATGCACATTCCTCTTCTGATTCCTCCTGTATTCAAACGATTAACGATCTGCTGCTACACAAAACACATTAACTGACTTCGGAGCAGCAAAAGTAGTTGGTATCGTAGTCGACCTCAATATAGGCGCATGTTGTGCCAGCCCAGCATGATACTAACCCAAGCAGGTTAACATGGTTTCGGATCGAGGATGGGGATAAATTGCTTACCTCCAGTATCGCTGCAGCATGTATCACCTAGACGAGGGAAATAGCAGGTGTCGCTATAGGAGCCACATTTCACGGCTCCAAGACCACAAGCTTGTTCGCATGTCGTGCCTACTCCTGGGCAAACATCCCACTCGGGGTAGTAGCCACCGTATGACGTATTCTGGCCATTACTCCACAAGAAAGATTGTGAAGTTGCAGCGGCGGACGGAGTAGTGGAAGATGACTGCAAGGTAGAGGTAGGTGTGGCAGTGTCTGCGCGTCGCACTGCAGGCGAGCCGAGTACACAGCACAGATTCAAAAACAAAGCAAGCACGAAGAAACGCATATTGAGTGCAACGAAAGACGCAAAGAGAAAAGAGCTGGGAGAAGCTGCGAGTTTTGCATGGCCACCGAGGTCGATAGCTCTGCGGCGAGCTCCCACAACCTTGTCACCACCCCGTCCTTACCATTGAGGCACAGCCAGAGGAGCCTAGTGGATCCTTTGGTGAAACCCGAAGTTACAGCGGCCCGCTCCACCCACCAAGGCTACAAGATAGCTAAAAAGATAAGAAATGAATGTTTGGCCAAAAGGCCCTGACTTCAGAATTGATGTGACTGATTGTAGCCTCGAGAGGCCTAGCGCCGGGTCCAGCAGTGCCAGGAGCCGACAGCCTTCGGTCGTCCGATTGCGCCGCTTGCAAGTGGAGAATCCCGTGGCAGTGGTATAGCCGCTGCGGCACAGCACATTCATGCTGAGCTTTGAAGACGGCACGAGATTGGAGGAAGCTGTGTGACGACGCTTTGCGAGCCAAGGAGTGAGCCTTGTGGACTGCAGGTGCTCTGCATATGGTGAGGGCGCAGGAGGATGGCGAGAGCAAGTTGATGCGGAGTTGGTTTTGATGTTGAGTGATGAAAGAGTCCACTTTCTTGGCAAAGTGCACGGCTCTCAAGCCTTTTCCCCTGGCCCCCGCTCTATTGAGTGCAAACATACTTCATGCATATACTATTGACCTCGCCACAGCCTTGCAGAGTCGTGACAGCTCTACATCCGGGCGCGATCTCATTGCCTCGTCGAAGAAGACAAATCTTGCCAAGCGGTACACCAAAATCATCACCGTCAAGGAAGTAGATCTAATCTACGCGGAAGGTAAGATGCACGGACTCGCTGGGCAGATGATTCCCGTTGATGAAATGTAGGGGAGAACTCAGATTACGAACCCAATTTCGTGGCCAGCGTCTACGCCAAGTTGGAGGTCGTAGTGTTACTACTTGAAGACTTTGAACACTTGACCTCAGAAATCGTGTGCCGGCCAGGCTCCATAACTATTCAGCTCCGCCCAGGCATCGTCTGCGAGTCAAACAAAGTAGCCCTCTTTAGTCTTGAAGACGGTGGCCTCGTCATCTCGTCTCACTATGGCTGTAATAATCGTGGTGAACAAAGAGTACTCCGGTTACTAGACCTGAACTCCCTTACAAGAAGACCGTTTCTAATCGAACACAGGGTCGGCAAAGTGAAAGTTGGCACGGATGGCTCCGAATTCACACTTCATACCGAACCTGCCTCCTAGGTGCATTCATTCACTTCCCTTCGCGTTCAAATGCACCACACCGAGGAGAGCCACGTTCTCAGACCCCATGAGGAACTCCGCCGCCGACAAGACGTGACTCCAGTGTCTAGCTTCGAATACACGAATACCTTCGCCGTTCCCGTACCGACTGCGACTACCAATGCCACCACAAACCATCTCGACTTGAACCATGCACTCATCGACCGTGATTTCTTCCCAGCTAACTCCTCTTTCCAGGTTACATGTAAGAATTGCTCCACCTTTGGGAGTCTAGATTTCTTATTCTCGAACTTTGTGCCCGACGTTAGCGACCGTGGCGAATTCATTTTAGGCGATATATTCACGGGCGGAGAGGCCACCGTTGTTGCTAACGGTATGGGTGCGATTGTTGACGTTTCCACGGAAATCTTTGGACCCGATATCAAACTTGACTTGTTTGAGGTTCCATTCTTGTTCGCTGTAAATGTAGGTTGCGTTGGCTGTGGCGTAGCATCACAGTCTTTGGAGTATTAACCGAGTCGATAGATTCCTAAGATCGGGACCGCTGCTCTCATGTAAGTTCCCACTCTGACAGCAAATACTAGCATAAATGGCTCGATGTACGGCACCAGCTTCTAGACAGCTGGCTTGAATGGGGATGCTAAAGTGAGTACTTCAGCATTAGTCGTTGGAGAAGGCTATGTTTAGACTGAGTTTACAATACTGACGAAAATATCTGTAGGTTATCTTGGAGGTTCCCTTTGATATACCGATTGACAATGGCACTATTACTACGCTTGACAAGTCGTGCCTCAACTTCGATAAGAAGTCTGGCACATATGTGCTTGCGGCAGAGGTTGTCGAGAATGCGGTGAAGAAGAACCAGACGGAGAATGCTGAGAGCGGGACGACTGGGCAGGTTAGGATCGATCAAGGGATGTGCTGGATGGCGTTTATCGATGGTCTCTTTGCTTTCATACTTTGATAAATGGGCGCAAACTGTGGTTCTCACGAGTATTATGACTAACAGCTAAGGGTGTTCGTGTAAAAACGGGTGCTTTCGGTTCCTTTTAAAAGAGATTTACGGGATTTAGTGGAATGGGAAGCATGATATTTGCCAACATTCAAGAAGGCATCTCCACATATGTCTCTACTGTTTTTCGGGAGTTAGTTCACTGACATGGATCTGGTTTATGAATCTAACGGCTATTCGCAAGTGCCACGGTTGTTTGTAGTAAACCACACATGAAGTTCAACTTAGCGGTACGCTTATGCCAGTTCGTACAGGCGGCTTGTGGGACCGCCTATTACCATTTCCTACAAGTAGTGATAGGCAACGCCCGGAGTCGCTTCGCGTCCAATATGCTCTAGCTTGCTGGTCGAAATCATCAAATATAACACCTCCATTCCCGTAGATGAATGTCATAGTAGCGCCCCCAAAAACACTTTGTACCAACAACTTTCAGACATGAAACGAGCGAGTACCTGTCCGTGCACGACCAACTTCACCAGTGAAGCCTCGTCGGATTGCTTGATCGAGTTCCGCAGCAAGACTCTCACTCTATGATCGGATCGACGAGCCTAAGAGATCGAAAGGATCCTTCATTAGACGCCAGCAGAATGCTGAGTTATTAGTAGGCTAGAGACGCAATCTTAGATTAGATCGTGAATACATTCATCTATTAAAGTTGAAGACCAGGTTTTGGTTCAAGGGACTGGATCTATTTTGCCGGTTTTTCACCCTGGCGGACCACATACGATTATATTATCTAGGAAGTCAATCCCAAAACATTGGCCCGATATTTGACACGGCAAATCTAGACTGCGCCTCTGTACTGCACATAGCAAAAGAAGCTCATAAGCTTTTGTGCACCGTTCAGTCTATTTCGACATCACTGCCAATGACAACATCAGCCTGTCCCCGAGGCCTTCGACACTCGTCCTTTTCGAAAACACTCACATAACTATCCGGCGGGAGGAACACACATGAGATCACTAGTACTTTCGGCTTAATTGGCTCCAAACCACCGAACATAACTCAAGAATATTTTATTCCTGAACATCCCCCACAGCCTAGCAACCAAAAGCTCTTGCCATGTTCGTGCTGATGATCGGACTCATGTTAATTTCCTCCTAAGGTGTTAAAGCACTTATAGGTCTGGAAAGTGGACGCGAATTTCCAGGGAGCTGCCGAAATATTCACTTAATGCAAGATGGGAGGACTTTATTGAGAATTTACAGCTCCCGGATCCTACAGCTCCGACGAAAGTCCGTCACTCACGTGTTCCACATTTTCCTGCACGCTGCCCTATTGCCAAGACAACCCTAGAATGAGGGCCAGAGAGACCTCCCTATCGCCAATGCTTGGCAATAGGGCGACGTGCAGGAAAATTTGGAACACGTGAGTGAATCAAACCTCCTTATACACTAGCCTGAAACTCCGTTAGCTGCGTAAATTTCTCTCTGGGACTGCCTATAAGCACGATTTGTCCGCTTGAGCTTGCAAGAGTGGAAAAAGCTGAAAGTTGATGGTACCGCCTAAGGATGCTGAATCAACAACTCGCAAAGCATATCGTAGAACGGCAGGAAGATCGAACAGTCTATTAAATAGTATCTTTCCATTTTCCTTGATCAATCATTAGATGTCAAGCCCAAGCCATAGATTACCTGGCCTAGGACTGCTGGAGCGGCAATCCAACGTCAAAACTGCTATGGAACTTTTGATGCAAGAAGCGGACGTTGAGCCCACTCTATCATTTTGCATTTGCATACACTCTGGAAGATCAACCTGCGGGACATACAGAGGGCTCCTTCTACTGGTCACTCATATAAAAGAGGTGCTCTTTTGGTTTTCTTGATCAAATATTAGGGGCCAGGCCGGCTCCATGTAACTGGTTACAAGCCAGTTATAAAACATTAAATCCAATCAAAAACTCCCGAGCGTGGCTAGATCATGCTAAACCTAAATTAGTTGCGTTTAGCCAAAATGCAGAAGCAGCTACCCATACGATGCTGGTAGTCATGATTTTTCCAAGCCAGCGCCAGGCCATTCGAGGTTTGTGAGGTCTTTCTATCGGCCACTAGAGGACAAGCCAACCCATGATTTTGCTAACAGTAAGGTTCTAACAGCTCACCGGACCCCATATCTCAGGACGAGGCCAGCCTATAGCAACAATATCCAGGTACATGGATCAAAGGCCAGAAGCCGTGTACCCCCCTAATTCTCTCTGGCGAATTTTCATCAGACAGTACCGGTCCATTCGCGCGGATTGAATGGATAGTTGATGAAGGACGAAAGACAGTGCACACCACTTTCCTCTTACTAGCTGGCAGCTGGCGTAGGAAGGGCAAAGGATCAGTGAGGAAAGCGTGAGTTGTATTGAGGTGCTAACGAGTGGCTATATAGTGAATGGAATAGGGGTTGCAGGTGGCACCGGTTGCAACGGTGGCAACGGTGGCAACTGTGGCAATGGTGGCAAACAACAGGTGAACCTTGTCCAGCTGAGAACTCAGGTTGAAATTGATGTGAACTCTGATTCCTATAGATGTCTAGCTCGTTGTTTATATACTAGGGGAAGGAGGGGGGCCACCCCCGGGGGCTTGACGTGGCGGATCTCTTGATGCGTTGCTAGTTACATCCTGTTACTTGATACAGTACTGATACCGTGCTGCAGCACTGCTGTTGCACTACCTGTTACTTCCTCCTGTATTAGCATGCCATCCTGATGCGTTACTGGCATATGAGTTGCTGATCCTAGGTTGTAGTGCTGCAACCCGAGTTGAGAAGTGAACCTTGTCCAGCTGAGACGCGTGGACAGATGTGCGTAGGAGCATTCTAGCTGGCTGCCACTAGCTCAGTTTCAAAATGATGTTAGAAATTAACCAAAACTCGAGATCCCAGGACGAGAGCAGCCCACATAACCCAGGGCAGAATTGTTTGACGAAAGACCAGAGGCAGAGACCACTCCGCTGGCTGACTTTATAGTACTCTTCAAGAGTTTCAGTACCCAGAACTATTTCAAGGGCGAGTGTGTTCATCCCATTAGGGTTGGCTGACTCAGTTCTAGGACAAAGACCTAGAAGCAGAGCTTCCTATAACCTATACCCTCGATCGTTCTCCAAGCGGCCGCTGGAGCATCCAATTAAGTCTTCATTTCTTCTGGACAAAGATTATTTCGAAGCCTACTCCATCGTATCTCGCCAAGCCTACGTTTGAAAGAATTTTGGTAGTCAATCAGTCCCAAAGAGCCCAGAGCAAGAGCAGCCCCCATGAATTAAGCCAGGCTCGTCTTTTATTAGGTTTAACTCCGTGCCAACAGAGCTCAACATTCTGCTTCATGCAGTAACAGTACTGGATTTCCTTATGCCTAGTAAGTTCTATGAAGCTAAGGATTGGCTGTGGTATTCTAGATTAGATACTACCGGACAGGCAACGCAAGCATAGTTCCGGGTTGATATACTTCTATGAAGGATGCAGAAACAGAACAAACTCATACACTTCTGGACCCGACTTGTGGAAACGCGAGACCATGATAACTGCTTGGTATACTAATTAATCGCCTCTTGCGAATCATTCCTTTTTGTTGAACACAGAACATAAACTCAGTCCTATGGACGGTTTGAGCCCAAAGATATTGCTTAGGTGGAAACAAGGCCACTCTAGAAACAATTTCCCGGGCCTGAGCAAAGGAGAGGTAGGGCACGCTCCATCGCCCTAATGCTTAGCAAGCTATGATATTCTAGCCAATAGGCTATTGCAGGGACGATATCAATCGATTTATCGGACTGTGGTGATTCTCCTTTTAGCTGATGACAGAGGGGACGCCCCGTTAATTAGTCGGATCTACCATGCTTCTCAAGCAGACACTCGTTTAATGGAAGCTTGCAGTCCTCATTTGATGGCAGACGCAGACGCAAAGTACACTCCATAACACCAAAGTCGAGCTTCTTTCAATACTCAAGCCCGTCTTAATGCGACGATAGCAGAATTAATCATCCCATAAGAGTCCTCGAGGTAGTCTTTTTCAACGAAGTTCAGAAGCCGCGACCTATCATGGATCGAGCCTAAAGACTTGTTACTGCCAGGGCAAAGCCATGAAAAAGGGTTGCGTGCAGTCTTGAGTAGAGACCAGAGTTCCAGCCTAATCCATGGAAATCATGCTGCTCTCACTCTGAAACGCCAGCCTCTAGCAATAGTCCTAGATTGATATCATTCGTTCCATCGCTAGAATTCATCCCTCCGCCTTTGGTTCAGGCGGAGGGACAAAGTACCACTCATAGTGCAGCTGTAGTATTATTTTCAGACCAGCAGTAGACCATGTAGTGGTCTTCAAGTTCGTTATGATGGAATATACCGGGGTAGAGGCCAACAATGCTTCACTTTTCCAACTTCGTTGAAATGCCAGTCCACGACAGCGTTCCTGGAGTACGATTGATCGGCCCATGTGAGATTTTCGGTCGCTATTTCGATCAAAGCCGCAGAAGCTGCGCCTCATCCTTTTGCTTTTTGTACGAATCTTACTAGGCTAGATACTGATTCATCCCGGAATCCATCATTTGGCCTCTATAAACGGAAAGGCTTAGAACGTAACCCGTCCCCCCTATCCAGGATACCTTAGAGATGGCGGAACGTCAACTTATGATAAGTCTACCAGCGCGAGACCGACTGCTCCATGGTTACTAGTCCCTACCAAGTTTGTCTCGTGACTAAGGACCAAGAACGGAGCCCCATCCGAGGTCAACTTTCACAATCTTAACGTCTTTAGACAAAAGACTAGAGGCAGAAGCAAAATTCATCGTATGCTAGTATTGATTGGAGGTATTTGTTAATAAATCGGCAATCCAGGTGAGAAGTCCAGACCGAGACCAACCATCGTACAGATCGAGCATCTAGATCTTAACTGAAGACTCGCAGGCAGAGTTCCATAGCGATCCAAGTGGAAGTATTTTTGCCGGCCAAGACTCGCCTATTAGGGTAATGTGTCGAGGGTTTTGATGAAACGCTGTAACGGAATCGGTTCCATGCGCTGTCTCGCGTTTGCGTTTGATATGATAGATCGTGGACCTCCACCTGAGATCTCAGGGCGAGAGCAGTCCGTAAGAAGAAAGCTGGATCTTAGTTGATCTACTACCCAGATGCATAGGTCAATGTTGGTCGGCCATGTGTAGTATTTGGTTTCTCCACATTGACACCAGCCGATCATAAGATATGATTCCCGTTCTGGAAGGAAAAGCAGATATGGGCCCTACTCCATCGCGTTTAGTTCGTTATAAGTTCGAGGTGATGGA